GTTCAAGTGTAAATTTTTCAAATCACGGTCGTTCGTTGAGATATTTAGTAGAATGTGGCTGAGAACTACAATAGTTATTCATAAAAGTGTTCCCCTCCGTTGTGAATTCTGCACCGTAAATCATTCTGCACATCCAGTTATCATGTCATGATCGAAATCATATAACGGTGATAAATCGGAGCCATTCTTCCAGCAATTCGGCTTAATAAGACACAGGAAATCCATATGAAATCATTCGTTTAAGGACATTAGACCGAATGATCTTAGGCGATCAAAATTCGTCACATTCCTCTCATTTCCTCTCAAAATTTGAGTGGAAGAAACCTGCAAAACAACTTGAATCACCGCCAAGAGAAATTGCTCATTGATCAGACTAAAATCAAAAGATAATCACTAATCATTTTCTCAAAGAATTGATTACATACAAATTCATTATTAAGCTATCAGACGATGCTGCCGTAAGTGTGCATGCGCCATGTGTAAGGCGATCTGTCCATGTGGTGAATATCCATCGCTTTTGTCTTGTTTCGTGATTTGCGATTTGTGATCGCGTTCAGCCACTTATTCTCATTTCTCTCATTTTTCTGGAACCAATCTTCCATCTTTTCTTCCGTCCAATTCTCAACTATGCTTGAATGATCTCTCGACTTCTTCAGTCAATCTTGCATCCACATTCTCGACAAATTGTCCGTTTCATTTTCCCACTAGCAGCTCCGCAGATCTTTTCCGAACCTGTAACAGAGATTCTGAGCAGTAACAGAGAGGTTCACTTACTCGCTGCTCAGAATCTTGGTTTGTTCATCGAGGAATCTGCAGCTTTTGTTCATCTAAAACTACCAATCTCTATAGAGTTTGTATCGTTCACTCAATTAAACCTGTGCCTTGTTGCAAGTTGAGCCTAATCTGTTTTTTTGCTGTTCATAAGTTCATACTTTAACGATTTCGAAACTGTTATCTCATGGTCGAGTTCAGCCGATCCGTTCTTCTGTGTTCGTGTGGATTTAACCTATTATAATGCAACGTTTCTTTAATGAACATGAGTGTGAATAACAGTGTTATCGATTCCCGTTGATCGCAAGAAGTTCTAATTGCTTTTAGTTAACACCATTCAGAACATTTTGATGGTTTCGCTATGATTATTCAATAAAATTTCAATTCTTTAATATCGACTCCCTTCATCGTCATCAGAAGAAAGGCATATCAAAGTAAAGAAAACTTCAAGTGATGAATGTTTAACACTGTTAACTGATTTTTAATGATTGTTAATTGCGATGCAGTGATTTGCTCGAGTAACTGACTGTTTGTTCTCTTCGATTTGGCTTTAGCTGGAACGAGTCTTGAGGCTGGAACTATCAACTTAACAACTTCATTAACGCATGATTAATGAGTGAGGAATGCCCTTCAAGGAATGACCTGCTACAGCAACAATAACAACGCTCTTCAACTAGCTGAATTTTGTGAAATTTTGAACATGAGAAGACGACTGGGCGCTCTCAATCAAAACATCGTGATTCAACGTGGTAACCTCACTCAGAGTTGGTTTTGCAGGAAATAGGTCTGCAGCCACGACCCGGTCTTCCGGATATTGCAGTCGATTTGCAGGGCCAAAGAAGACCAGATTATGAAATTGTGGTGAAACCTAAGCAACCTGTGCAGAAAGTTCCGGCTCCCGAGGAACGCCCTCAACCTCAACCCGAGCAACTTCCTCAGCCTTCACCCGAACCACGTCCTCAGCCTTCACCCGAACCACGTCCTCAACCAAGACCCTCTCGTCCACAGCATCCTCATCGCAGACCAGGACAACGACCCGAAATCACCATAGAACGTCATCGTCACAAGTCAAGAGTTTCCGAAGGACGACTTGAACGTCCACGAAGGCCCGAGGTAGAAACTATAGTGGAACCGGAACCACCAAGACGCGATCAAAGGCCATCACAGCAGCAGCAATATGAATCGAGCAAAACAGATGAGAGGATAACTGGAAGACTTCCTCAAGAGCAAGCTCCCGAAGTTCGAATGGAAAGACCAGAAGGGCGTCCGGAACATCCTGAAGCTCATGTATTACCGTCAGAACCACAACCTATAACTGGGCTGCAAACTCAGGAGCGAATATCTGAAGAAGCAAAACAACCTGAGCAGGTATAAAGCGTAGTGTGAGATGATATTTGGAGCAGGGTTGAACAATGAATTCATTTCTTTAATTTCTGTTGTCATATCATGTTTCTTGTTCTACAGTTTAATGTGTCTTATTGATGTCGCTTTTAAAGAATCACATCCAAGTTAACAGTGTTGCAGTAGCAGTTGGCGTTTGGCATGTTAAGGATTGGCAGAAGATGCTATCAAAACAATTTTTTGAATAACTGATACTAAATTCGAGCGAATTAATATTGATATCCCCCAGATTGTGTTATCAGATGTTTCTTTACAAAGTGTTATTGCGCGTCTTCACAAAGTCAACGTCTTCATATCCGAGGATCTCATTTAATGTTCACATGACTGTGTTTCGTAATGATCGTCTTTCATTGCAATTGATCATCTCATGATGATTTCATGACCATTTTATAACTTCAGTTGCTTCAGTTCCTTTTGCTTCATCTCATTTCAAACTTCTTCTGTTGTTCCTGATATTGCATATGGCCTAATATATTGATACAGATCCTAATATTTGCATAGATCTCTCAGCAGTTCGTTATCATTTACGAATCAGCAAAATTTTCAAAATCTTTTCACTCATGTATCTCTCGTATAAGTGTCTTCACCGTTCTGTTTTGAACAAACTTCTATAAATACAAGAAAATATGCTCTCCTCCCATGAATACCCTCTTTACATCTCAAATATTGCATGCTCGTCGATATTTATTTTTTATACGTTGGATTTTGATATTTGTTAGGCAAATTTGCATGCGTTTATTATTAGTGGTTGGTGACTTCACTTGGCATCAGCAGTATTGTGACACTATTATGGTTTTTATCGCTCTGAATCTTCTTCTAACGCTTGAAATCATCGTAACGTTGTGAGTGCTTCTTTAGACTAGACTTGTCCAAATGAGAGGAATTCATAACCTCATGTTCGATGCTCACGTAGACTCTTCTTCTATAATTTTAAATAATTTCTGGAGTATGTTCACATGATGATCTCGGCAAGATCGATCACACATTACCTCATTGATCAGTTGATAAGTCTGAATAGATACTGTTTTATCTTCTGTGTATATTTCTAATTTTGCGTTCTTCCTTATTTCTACCTCAATAAGCCTCATCGATGTTTGCTTTAGTCGAGCTTCAGTTCTTCTATCTATCACTCACTAGCTGTCATCTGATTGTTGCTATCGTCTAACATCCGTCTCGTTTAAGCAACCACCGTCTGTATCGCAACAACAGCAACAGCAATCACCAGCATCATCCTATCCGCAATATCCACAGAAACCTGCACAATATCCAGAAACTGAACGACAACCGCACTACCGGGAACGGCCGACACCTGAGTCTCATCTGCAACGATACCCAGAACCAGCGCATAGACCGTATTCGTTGAGCGAAAAGGATCATGTGGTGAGTTTCCGTTC